ATTAAATTAAATTAAGTAAAGTAATGTATGTCTTAATAATTAATAGCAACACAGCTGTCTAATACTGCAATATTGGCTTTATGTATTATACTGAATCATTAAAATGGCGACACGGCTGCCACATACTGTAATATTGGCCTTATAACATGAAAATGGCAACACGGCTGTCTCTTACTGTAATATAATGTAGGCCTTATAACATGAAAATGGCAATACGGCTGTCTCATACTGTTATATTGGCATTATAACATGAAAATGGCAACACGGCTGTCTCATACTGTAATATAGGCCTTATAACATGAAAATGGCAACACGGCTGTCTCATACTGTTATATTGGCCTTATAAGATGAAAATGACATTTCAAACGATAAAAACACCAACGTTAAGGCATAATATTCAGTTTGAAAATATGTTGGTTGTATTTTATTGAGGCCTTGGTTGAAATTCTCAGATATACATGTAGAATCCTTTTACGTCATTGCTTTTTTTTTTCTTTTTTTTTCTCGTGAATGAGAATTATCAAAGCCAGAAATCTGTGAGACTTTAATTTGATTTAAATTTGACAATTTTGATATTTTCTAATTTTACTTGTAAAATATTCAATGAAGAAGAATCTGAGGAAATCTAGACAATAAAGTAATACATACATGTAGATAATAATATCTTGAAGTTACTTTCATTTCTTTTATGCCTCAGTGATGAATGAGTAAATATATCCACATGAAATCAGCCAGTAATGTGCATGTAGATTATTAGATATCAAACTAACATGGAATCCCCTCATCCTCCTTTTTGAAAAGGGAAAAAACAAAGAAGGAATTCAATTTTACTTGCGAATAGAAGTTAGCTTTCTATAAAGGATACTTATTTGATACGTAGTTGTGTTTGCTGACTCTACAAACCTCTAAATCCACTAAAACTACGTATTTTATTGTGAATAATATGAAGTGAAATATATGTTCAATATACAAGTACCCTAACCACCAGAATTAAAATTGCCTTATTTGCACTTAAGCTGCACCCATGCAAATGCACCCAGTGCCATAGTACTAATCCCTATAGAGTACCGAAACTGTGACATCATAAAAATCTATTTTTAGAATTTCTCAAATTTTTCTTCATTTTTCCGAAAGAGCATCATATATAATGTCAAAATTTCGAAAACCAATTGAATATGTAAAGTATTGGCTGAGATATGACCATCTGAATAAAAAGATTGCCTATGGGAACTCAGTGTTATTAATTTGCTCTGGCTCCTAATGGTTAGGAGCCAGAGCATATAACACTGAGTTCCTATGGGGAGTATATTTATTCAGATGGTCATAGCTCGGCCAATACTTAACACATACATGTACCGTATTCAAATTGGTTTTCAACATTTTGACATTATTTTTGATGCTCTTTCGGAAAATGAAGAAAAAAATTGAGAACTTCTAAAAATAGATTTTTGATGATGTGCCAGCCACTAATCCCCCTGTGCGAAGTTTATTTTTAGGGTTGGTTCAAGTGTGTGTAGTCTCATCCGTATGTTGTATAACAAAAATTTACATGAAAGTTGTAGTAAATTTCACCCTCTCTGTTGATACCAATTTCATTTCCTGAATTCCAGGTTTTCTTCAGTGGAATACTGTATGGTTCATTGAACTTTTGTTTTTATTGTGAATAATATGAAGTGAATTATATGTTCAATATACATGTACCCTGACCACCATAATTAAAATTGCCTTTATTAACCTTTTTTTGAATATTTTTCTTCTCCAGGTTTTCTTCAGTGGAAGCAGCAGTACGAGAGGGACAACCGGTCGGCATATGTTGTACATCGAGGGGCCACGAGTAGTGCCAGAGGAGATAAGACTCAGGTCTATTTCTGCAGTCGTGATGGTTTGTTCAGGTCTAAAAGGAAAGGCAGTAGGTCTCTGAAATCACAAGGATGTTGCAATATTGATGCCCATTGCACTTTGGGTATCACAGCTTATTTGAAAGATGATGGGACAGTTAGTGTAACAGTGGTTGATTAGCATTATGGTCATGAGAAGAATCTGGCTCATGTTAGATTGTCAGCTATGGAGAGGGTTGATGTAGCCCAGAAATTAGCACAGAGTGTCAGTTTTTATAGGATTTTGGATGATATTCGTGAGTCTTTGAGCACTACCTTGGAGCGCCAACATCTCATCACCAGACAGGACATCAGGAACATTGAGAGGTCTCTTGGTTTGCAGGGTATTCGAAGGCACAACGATGACGCAACTAGTGTGGATATGTGGGAGAGGGAGATGCGTCATCAGGGTGACAGTAATCCCGTGTTACTGTACAAGGGACAGGGTTCTCCATGTCCGGAAGAGTTGGATGATCTTGGTGAGAATGATTTTGTGTTGAGGATCATGACGCCATTCAGAAGGAAATGTTGCTCTCATATGGCAAGCATGTTGTCTGCATGGACTCTACTCATGAAACCAACGCTTATGATTTCTCTTTGGTGATTGTGTTTGTTGTTGATGAATTTGGAGAAGGTTTTCCGGTGGCATGGTTCATTTTTAACAGAGAAGACAGGGCTGTGCTGACAGGCTTTTTTCAGAAAATTTGAGTCATGGTAGGTCAGTTGGAGACTTCTTGGCAAATGTCTGATGATGCTGAACAGTTCTTCAATGCTTGGATTTATAGTGTTTTTACACACAGGCCCAGGAAACTGTTGTGCACATGGCGTTGGGCTCTGTGTTCTCATATCCCTGGCAATGCAGAGTTGCAATCTTCCATCTACAAGACTCTTGGGGTTCTCCTGGAGGAGACTGATGAAGCAAAGTTTGAGCTGTTTCTTGGCCGTGTCACATCAGATTTCATGGAGGATGAGTCAACACGAAGGTTTGGGGAGTATTTTGCTTTGTATGCAGACAAGAAGTGTCAGTGGGCTGTTTGCTTCAGGAAGGATGCAAACATCAACACGAATATGTATGTGGAAGCCTTCCACCACACGTTGAAGTACATCTACATGAAGGGCTTTACCAATCGCAGGGTTGATAAATGCATCAGTCTTCTCACCCAATGTGTCTGCGATCGTTTGTTTGAAAGGTTAAGCAAGCAAGAGAAGGGCAAGAAGTCTCATCGAATCAATGATATAGATACGAGGCATCAAGCTAGTTACCTGCTCAGTTCTGCAGCAAGAAGTGCATTGTCGTCGTATATAACTCTTGAACATACATGTAGTGTTCATCCTGTTGGCTCACACCCACTGGTCTGTAGATTTTTAAAATGAACATTTAATCTCAGACCTCCGACACCACGTTACAAGGATCGACACATGGAATGTGAGTGTTGCACTTGACCTTTTACGCAGATGGTCACCAGCTAGTGTTTTGAGTTTGAAACGAACTACCCACAAACTGTGTTTGTTATTAGCTTTGATCTCTGCACAGAGATCTCAAACATTGCATTTGTCAAGTCTAGATAACATGAAACTGAAACAAAGTTCAGTGATCTTTAAAGTTGATGACTTGTTAAAGCAAAGCCGTCCAGGTCAGCACGGTTTCACGCTCAGCTTTAAGGCGTATACTCCAGATAGGAGACTCTGCGTTGTCCACTACCTCCGAACGTACATCAGGAGAACAGAGGAAGTTTGAGGACAAGAACCCCAACTATTCAACAGCCATACCAAACCACATAGGAAAGTTTCATCCCAAACAATATCACGGTGGATTAAAGAGGCCCTAACGGTAGCTAGAGTTGACACCAGCAAATACAAGGCACATTCCATGAGATCAACTGCAGTGTCGACAGCTAGCATGGCCAATGTGCCAGTCAGATGTATTCTAAACCAAGCTGGCTGGTCGAGCGAAAAAACTTTCCAGCATTTCTATAATAAAACACTCGCAGATGACAGAGAAGAATTCTCACAAGCTGTACTTCAGTAATAAACTATGCATTAGCTGAGAACATACTGTCAGAGTGTCAGGGATTGAACTCAAAATGTTGACAGGTTGGTAGTAAAGACATTGCCAAAAAAAATTGTACTGGTTAAGTACAATTGATATTTGTTGTGGTAATTTAATTTTTCGTGTTACTACAGTTTCGCATTCAAATTTCCAGTCGGTTCTCTGACTGCTGTATGCAAATTGTACTACAAAATGTGTTCCACTGAGCTACACAATCTCAATTAGTCTCTTCATGAGACTCAGTAAAATTGAAAGCTCAAACAATAACTTACCTGTTTGAAGTTTGAGTGTAATTTTATGAGGAAGTAGAGGGAAGAGACTAATTGCCCTCCTCTCTCTCCCTTTTGATAGAGTTTAACTCTAGTTCATGTTTATTGTAAATGTCAAATTCAGAAAAGTTATCTGACCTTTCAGGATCAGCTAACACATTTTGTGGCTACAAAGAATAATTGCACATGGGTGAAGCGGGCTCTCAATTCATCTCTTCCCTCTACTCCCTCATAAAATTTCACTCAAACTTCAAACAGGTAAGTTATCGTTTGAGCTTTCAATTATGAGACATTATGAGACAGCTGTTTTGCCATTTTCATTACATTACATAGCAATATGAGACAGCATTGTTGTCATTTTTTGACATATCCTCGTATTATACAGGTAAATGTGATGGACTCCAGACTACTTTGGGATGTTCAAAGTTGGCACGTTTTCTTTGTATAAATGGAGTACAAAGGATTTCAATAGGTAAGACAAAGATCTGTATGGCCAGGATCTGGTTTGTGTATTAAATCATGATTCAGAAACAGATCCAGGTAAGTATCTTCCCATGCCCTGGCTACTGATGATGAGCATTGTTTCCAAGTTTACTTCCTCTTTTCTTTTCTTTTCTTTTCTTTGGAAAATATATGATTTCAATTGCTTGATTGTCAGTGCATATATACATCTTTGCTACCATAGAGTGGTGAAGTGTGACGTCATCAAAAATCTATTTTAGGAATTTCTCAATTTTTTCTTCATTTTCCGAAAGAGCATCAAAAATAATGTCCCAATGTCGAAAACCAATTGAATATTCTGAATAGAAATATGTCCTATGGGAACTCAGTGTTATAGTGCTCTGGTTCATAACAGGTACCATACAGGTACAGTATTTGAAAGGACACATCCTGCAGGCACTAAAGTAAAAATTCAGTGGTAATAGATTATGCAGATAAGTGAGCATAGAAATATTTGGCAGAATTAGTTTATTCTTACAAGGTATAGATGAAAAAACAAGCACAGAAACTTAAGTGCAATACACCAGTATTTCTTTACATGTGCTAAATGTCTGTATGTATTCTTGTTATTTATTTTATACAGATTGAATTGTTACTACCACTTCTAAAGAATAAAACACTAGAAGTAGAAGTAGAATCCAGGCTGAATTTGTTGGGGGTATTCGCTGGATGTGTGAGCCAACTAGCCACTATTATGACTTGAAGATACACATCTGGAATTTTACCAATCAACTGTCAAAAATTGGTCTAGATTATTATCAATGCTACCATTTTCAAAACGTATGCAAGTTTGTGAATTGTTGTTAACCAGGCACACCATTGTGTAGCCAAATCATTCAGTGCAAATTTATAGTAATATCTTGAGTTTTCACTGACTGCTAGAAATTACACTGTGGAGTTATTATACCCCTGCCAAAAAAAGTTGGAAGATTTGTTGGTATTAATCACATTCAGTGATATTTCTAGTTTGTACTGCATCAAAATGTGTAAGTTCTCACTACAGTCTTGCCAGTTGCCATGTTTTAAACTTTGGTTTGATATGTATTTTTCATATGCCAAAATAACAAGATGGGCATTCTAAGCCCACTGTGATTTTTATCCCATTCAACTTTCGTTGCTTGATTCTGATGTCGTATTTGAATTGGAGATGATGCTTCTGTTATAGTGTACAGGACTTGATACAGCAGCAAAGTATCTGACTTGTTCCAGTACCGTATTCATTGTTTGGTGCACATCATTTTTCATGTGAAAGAGTAACATGTACATGTAGAGCATTCCAAGTGAATTGTGATTGTCATCTCATTCATTTGTTTGTGTTTGATTTTTATGACGTATTGAAACTGAAATGATGTTTCTCCAACTACACTTTACAGAACACAAATCTGCATGATGGTGTATTCAGCTCTCATTCAAATCTTGCCATGTTTTATTGTTTGATAGATGATTTTAACATGCCAAAGTTACAAGTGTAGTTTTACATCTCTTTCATTTTTGTACCTGATTACATTGTAGTGTTTGACAATGATATTATATATATTTATTTGGTATGGCAAACTCTAATGTGTATTAAAGTTGCATTCAGGTGTTAAACCTCTGTTGAGCAAAGTTATTTGTGTAAGTTCACATCCCAGTCTTGCCATGTTTTTATATAATTGTTTGATGCAAATTTTGTCATATGAAAGATAGTAACATGTACATGTAGAGCATTCCAAGTGAATTGTGATTGTCATCTCATTCATTTGTGCTTAATTTTAATGACGTATTGAAACTGACATGATGTTTCTCCAACTACACTTTACAGAACACAAATCTGCATCAGGGTGTATTCAGCTCTCATTCCATTCTTGCCTTGTTTTAGAATATTGTTTGAAACACTCATTTCATATGCAGAAGTATACTAATGGGCATTCCAAGTTATGTGATAGAACAGTAGTGATTCTGAAATCATCTTCAAAGATCATGGTAACAGCATGTGTTCGAAATTGAGGTAATTTAAATGGCCTTTACAAATAAGTAAACATGTTTATTTTATATCATGTAATACAGTGTAGACACAATACTTGCATATCAAATACCAAGGATACCTCATTCCACATGTATATAGTGGAATATATATATATGAAAAAAACCTGGTCTCGAATAAACAACTTATTAGGTAAAAAATACAAAACATTACCTTCTCACATGTATTACAATCAGGATAAGATACTTAGTAAAGCATCTATTGTTGAAGCATTTAATAGGTATTTTGTTAATATTGGAAAGATTACACAAGAAAAGATACCAACTTCTTCCTCTCACTTTCTGGATTATTTATCAAACCGTGTACCAAGTTCACTGTTCTTCAATCCGACTTCCAATACTGAAATAATCAATGTTCTCTCATCCATGAAAACATCTGCTGCACCAGGTTCGGACTCTATTGCTGCACGTGTCATTAAGGAATGCATTCATACAATTGTTGATCCTCTTTGTTATATATTCAATGAATCAATGTCACAAGGTATTGTCCCTTATAATCTCAAGACCGCTAAGGTAATTCCAATATACAAAAAAGGTGACAAACATGACATTGTTAATTACAGACCAATTGCTCTATTACCTTTTTTTTCAAAAATGTTAGAAAGGATAATCTACAACAGGCTGTATAAATTTTTTGCACTAAACAATATTTTGATACCCCAACAATTTGGATTTCGAAAGAATTTTTCTACTGATCTTGGCGTACTGAACTTGGTTAATACTATATCACATGAAATAGATGTTGGTAATTATTGCCTTAGTGTATTTATGGACCTGTCAAAAGCATTTGACACCATTGATCACCACATCTTGTTAAAAAAATTAGAATTTTATGGAATTAGAGGGGTTCCACTTCAGTGGTTCGTCAGTTACTTGTTACATAGAAATCAATATGTGGTGATCGATGGTGTCAAATCTCAACATATGGATGTATCCTGTGGAATTCCTCAGGGATCTGTGTTAGGGCCCCTCCTTTTTCTCGTCTACATTAATGATATAGTTAAATGTTCTTCAATTCTAAACTTCTCTTTGTTTGCTGATGATACCACTGTTTCATTATCACATAAAAAAATTGACAATCTTATATCATCAGCAAACAATGAACTAGACAAATTAAATAAATGGTATGCTTGCAATAAATTGTTTTTAAATTTTGACAAAACTAGGTATATTATTTTTCGTGCGAGAGGAAGGAGGGTTCCGTCAAATCTGTCAAACCTCATTATTGGTGGAAATGTCATAGAAAAGGTCGATAATATGCAGTTTTTAGGTGTAATTTTGAATGAATATCTTTCTTGGAAACCACATCTTAGCTCAATTTGTACAAAAATATCAAGATCTATTGGTGTTCTTTCTAAATTAAGACTTTTTGTGCCCCAGTCTATTCTGACGACTCTTTACAATAGCATTATACTTCCTCATTTTAATTACTGTAATACTGTCTGGGGTCACACCTTTAAAACCCATTTAGATAAATTATGCATTTTACAAAAGAAAGCAATACGAATTATCTTTAATGCTCCCTTCAATAGTCATACAAAACCTTTATTTTCACAATCAAATATATTACCGTTAAAGGACCTGATAACCTTGAATTCCCTTGTGTTTATGTATAAATTTCATTCGAAAATCTTGCCTCCTCTCCTTAGCGATATCTTTGTTTTGAATTCCTCAATTCATTCTTACCAAACTCGCCAAATTAATTTAATACACTTACCTCAGGTTCGTTCTTCCGTCGCCTCAAATTCATTTATAATTCATTTTCCTAAGTTATGGAACAAACTCCCCAACAATATCAAAAACAGCTCAACTCTTTCCAGATTTAAAAAGCTGAGCAGGGAAATCTTACCTTCTTTATAAAATACTCTTGATATTCTTGTTCGCTTTCATTTGTACTGCCCTCCTATACATGTAGATACAGTTTTTTGTTGCTGCTGCAGAAGTATACTTCTCTTCTTTTTTTTCTTGTTTATATTAATGTTCGATGTTGATATTTTTTAGTATAATTAATGTTGATCTTTTTATGTATTATGTATTGGTGGCCCCTTTTTATAAGCTCTGCTTTCTCCGGGGTCACCAAACCATCATTGCATTATTCTAAATCTTGATGTAACTTATTTTGATTGTATATATATATATTGATGGTTGAACAATAAATGAATTGAATTGAATTGAATAGTGGTTGATTTTCAAATTGGACTTCATTTCTACCAATTTAGTCAAACTTTCTTTTTTAGTAATTTTTAAGCCATTTTGAACCAAATATTTTCCAAACAGCTTCGTTAACATTATAAAATGATTAATACGCATCAGTTTGCATGGTTGTTTCCCAATTAAATCATCTTCTTTTTTTTCTTGCTAAAATGCCTTCTTACCCACTTCTGAACATCCCATTTAAATGTAACTTTATTGTCATCGTTCAAACTTAGATAATGTGTATCTGTAACTACACTTTACAGTACTCAATGCTGCACCAAAGTGTCTTTCTCATTCTAGTCTTGCCATGTTATGTTGTAAGGTGCATTATTTTTTACATGCCAAAGAGACATTTCATGCATTTATAGTTGGTGACTGCGATTTTCTACTCATTTGTATTATTTGTGTGTATGTATATGTCTGCTTGGACTAGGACAGCTAGAGACAGAAGAGAATGGAAATGTTATGAGGAGGGCTTTGTCCAATGTCTGGATGAACTATAGCCTGATAGAAATAGAAATAGAAATATGTCTGCTTGATTTTCATGTAGTATTCAATCAAGAATGTTTTTTTATTTACTACACTTTACAGTTAGTCAATGCTGCATCAGGATAACTAAGTTGACATTCCACTCATGCTATGTTTTTTTAAATATTTGTTACAGTTTTATACCAGTTGCTGAGTACTGTTTTATACCATTTACTGTTTTATACTGGTTGAAGCAGTATTTTCTCATGCCAAAATAACATTTCAGCATTCCAAGTTAAGTGTGAATTTCATCTCTTTCCTTTTTATTCTTAATTGTGATAAAATATTTGTACTTTATAAGACTGACGTTGATAAATGTTAACATGATATTTGTATGTAGTAAAGTTGCATTCAGGTTCATTTGGGGGCCTTGAATGCTTTAGTTCATCATTCCAAACTTGATATTCAGAGATCTGACTTTGTTTCCAATTGTTCTTTTCCACACCTACACATTATCAAGCTCTTCAAGATCAAAGGCATTACAAGGGGGAGTGTATGGGCAGTACTTTCAGGCGCAGATCCAGGGGGCAGCGGGCCCTGCCCCCCCCCCCCCCCCCCGCAAAAAAAGAGAGAGAGAGAGAGAGAGAGAGAAGGGAAAGAGAAGGGAAAGGGAAAGAGGAGAGAAAGGGAAAGAAAGAAGAGGAAGAACAAAAGAAAAAAGGGGGAAAAGGAGGAGATCGGGGGGGGGGGGGGACCGAAAGGGCCTTGCCTCCCAGCTGTTACCTACCCAACCCCCCCCCCCCCCCCCCCCGTCAAAAAAAAAAGAGAAGGAAGGAGAGGGAAAGAAAAGAGGAGATAAAGGGAAGGAAAAAAGAGGAAAAAGAAAAGAAAAAAAGGGGGATATCAGTTGTAATTTTCACGCCAACAAGTTGCCCTTGCGTCCCCCGCCCAAAAAAGGGGGGGGGGGGAGGAAGAGAAAGGGAAGAGCTAAAAGGGAACAAAAACGGGAAGAAGAAAAGAAGGGAGAACAGTTGCGATTAATCCCGCCAAAAACGTGTGGATCGGAGGGGGAGCCGAAAGGCCCTTGCCTCCCTCACCCCCCCCCCCCCATCAAACTTAAAACAGAGAGAAGGAAGGGAAAGGAAAAGAGGAGAGAAAGGGAAAGAAAATATAATTCAATGTGGTTTATTTCTAATTCGATACCCGTGATTTACCAATGTTGCTGAAATGACATAATTTTCCGAAATTTTTCCGAAATCTTTAGTAAATTATACTTTTTGATGCGTTTGTGGGAAAATGGCAAATTCCTAAAGAAAGAATGAAAGAATAGTAACCTGACTTTCTCACAAAATAATGTGTCAAAATTTGCTCATCTGACCGTGAATAAATGCATAAAACCCCTGAGCTTCCGGGGGCTCTGCCCCCTGGATTTCACCTAGAGCCCTCGGGCGGGCACATGGATGCTCATCTGATGGTAATTCAATGCTTAAAATCCCTGAGCTTCTGGGGTCTCCGCCCCATGGACCTCACGCCAATTAGTGTCCTGCCAGTTTCACAAATAAGGTATCAAAATATGTTCATCTGACCGTAATTAAATGCCTAAAACCCTTGAACTTCCGGGGCTCCGCCCCCTCGAACCCGCCAGGGGCCCTATAGGCAGGACCCTGCATGCTTGTCTGACCGTTATAAAATCCCTAAAACCCCTTAGCTTCTATGGGCTCCGCCCCGTGGACCCCATGCCAATTGGTGACCTGCCAGTGTCTCAAATAAGGTATAAAAAGGCTCATCTGACCGTAATTTACTGCCCCAAAACCCTGAGCTTCAGGGGGCTCTGCCCCCTGGACCCCACGCCAGTTAGTGACCTACCAGTGTCACAAATAAGGTATCAACATATGCTCACCTGACCGTTAGTAAATGCCTATACCCCCTGAACTTCCGGGGCGCCACCCCTTGATCCCCCGCCCCTAGACCCCACGCCAATTTACGCTACGCTCTACCTGATCGTAAATACCACCCCACCCCAACCCCACCCCACCTACTTAGAGAAATGTTCAGCGGGGCCTGCATGTAAGAATGGGGTGTTGCAGATTTTTTTTTAACCCCACCCCCCCCCCCCCCTAAGAAATCCAGGATCCGCGCCTGAGTACTGTTGCTCAAGAATGAAAATATTGGGGCCACACATGCCATTTTGCTCCATAAGGTTTTGACGGAGGTTTTGATGTCATTTGAAATATGCTATCTAGGTTTAGAAAAAGCACACAAAATCACCAATCCAGGACGGGGACACAACACATTTCGAAGGCTCACTGGTTCACAGATGTTTTAAAGACAGGATACCCCTGCATTTCGTGCAAGCATGCATGATGCCTAGTATTTTCTTAATTATATATGTCAACTATAAATGGGGGAAATCAAAGAAAAAGCTGCTCTTACTCACTTCAAATTTGGGGCACATTTTATGGAAAGAGGATGAGGGGTCACTTATCAGGAATAAAGAAGACACGTTTGTAAGACATGAAAGGGGGCATGTGTCAAAGTTACAAGGGCAATTATCAGAGGTGAAAATGGGCACTTCTCGCTCCTGAAAATGCACTCACCAGAGGTGAAAAAAAAGACATTTATGAAAATAGAAAAGAGACATTTGTCGACGGAAGAGGGAACCTATACCAGATTTTGATAGGAGCAGTTTTTAGAGGTGAAAGCGGCTAATATTATGAGAAGGGAAGAGAAGGGGCTCTTATTAAACAAGATTGGGGTGGGGGCACTTATAATGTATGCCATAGAAAATGGGCATATGTTAGAAAGTAAAGAGCAGGTGTCGAAAATAAAAGGGGAATTTAAATGATGGGGGAACTCACTTCTAACAAAAGAAAAGGAATACTTGTCAGAGTAAAAGAGGCGCCTCTATAAGATTTGAAGAGATGCAATTATCAGATGAAAAGGGGGCACTTACGAGAGGTGATAAGGAGCACTTATAAGAATGTGGAACGGGCATCTATCATGAAAAAGTGGGTGAGCTTACATATCAAAGTTTTTAAGGCATTCCACCTTCCATTCTTTTCAGTTACGAAAAAACACAAAAACATCAAATTTACAAGGGTTATGAATAATTTTGTTAACTGTTACTCTTGCACATTATGGTAAACCTTCAAAATGTTATAATGAATTACCACCAAGGCACCGACCCATGCACTCTTTTTAGGCCTACGATTGTCAAGAGACGAGGACCCTTTTCTCTTTCTATATATTTCCTTTTTTTATAATGACTTGTTTTCGTTTTTCACACTCAGGCAAATTTACAGGACCTATATATCTTAGGATCTGTGTTTTTCCTACTTTTTCCTTGCTTGTCAGCACCTCGCATCCTTACTAAAGTCATTCCCTGGGCCCTGCTTATTATTCCTACTTTTATCTAGGCAAACCAATTCTCTTCCATCCCCTTCGTCTTCTTATCAATTGTATACCTTATATAGCAAACATTTCGTTATATCACTGCTCTGCACAGCACTTGAAACACCGTCCTTGGCCATTTGCATTTTGTTTCATTCGTCACTCTTTTTCATATTTTACAAAGGATGTATACCTCTTTCATGAGCTGCATCCTAATCCGGATGACATACGACATTGGATAAAATAATTTCTACACATGTACGAGCTACGGAAAAAATAACAGTAAGAATGAGACCAAAGAGGAAGTTTGGAGAAAAAATAAGAGAAAGAGAAGAAGATAGAAGAGGAAAAAGAGAAAGGAAAGTAGCAAAGGAAATGGTATAGAAGAACAAGAGAGGTAGGCCCGGACATATAATGGAACTCTGCATGCCTTAATCAAATGAATATTCACCATCAGAGTTTGCTTTCAAAGTAGTAGTGAAAAGAATGCTGTTCTCTCCCAATATACTGTTTAATCATGAATGCTTACTAGTGTCTGCTTTATTAACGATGATATTTGCAATCAAATGTAACTCCTTCTCACTTCAACCGCCCCCCCCCCCCCGCCGCCTCTCTCCCTCTCTCTCTCTCTCTCTCTCTCTGTACCTAATATTCTTCTCTTCTGTTTGCTGTACGTTTGCATTATGACATCAGGTACTCCCAAATTTATGCATTTTGCTTGAACATCTACTTAATTGTCAGCGCTCACAAGGCATTAACATTTGTTTATCTTGGAGCACTGGCCAGTTCTGTTTAAAATATATTCATATTTCTTTATGTATGTTTTGATGTTTTTTTGTATTCAGAACTGAAAATGAATAAAATAAATAAAATAAAAAGAATTGAAGACATGGTATTAATGTAACTCTTCCTCGTTTCCCTTCTTCTGTCGTCTTCCTTTCATTCATATTATTTCTTTTCCTTTCAATTCATTTTTTCTTTAATAAAACATTTCATGTTTCTTTCTTCCGTAGTTCGTTTTTCCCATATTCTTTATTTCTTCCATTAATTTTTTTAAATTTTAATTATGTGTCCATTAATTGATTCTTCGTTTTTATTTAATTCTTTTTACTTTCTTTCTATTCTTCCTTTTCTTTCTATCTCATTTTCCCTCCGATTGACAACGTTTTGTGTATGGGATAAACAAAAAATACCCACTCATGGAAGATGTGCTCTTTCCTATCGGTCTTTATTCCCCTCTTTATTAAGATGTTGAATTATTGCTGCCAACTAGCTAGTACGTTAGCCCAATTAAGCGAGAGCGAGCATATTACACATACAATCATGTACAGCTAGCTAGCTACGGCTGTGCGTACGCGCCGCGCGCACGCAGCGACTATTTTTTCAGGAGCTAGGGAGTCGTGTTACACTTTAAGACCATGTTACACTTTAAGATATGGAAAGCCGTTGGTGACTTTATTCACGTGCCCCAGACGTATGGAACTCGGCACACGTCTGCTAAATTGACCAATCACCGCCTGTTATTTAGCAGGCGCATGCAAGGTGCGATAGCACACGCCTGTTACTTTATTAGCACACGTGTGCCTTTTTCCAGACGGATGCTGTTTACTGCACATGCGTCTGGAATTGATCTACCAATCAGATACCTTGTTTAATATGGAGTTTAATGTGTGTGTACGGTGAGTGCATGCAGATCAGACAAACAAAAATGTGCCGGGCACATGGTGATCGACGCACGTGGTACTCTTACCGTTCTTAAAAGTATTGACTTTGATTTCTATGTCAGAAAAGAAGTATACATTGTACTTCCATTGAGGTTGGAACTTTCTGATGCAAAGAATATTATGCCAAATTATAAACGAGGTACCGAACTGCTATATGAACGTTTATCCTCCACCTAGTATTGGAGTTTGTAAATACTATAAAGCTATAGTCTAGGGTTGATAAAGAAAAAGGTAAGTCTAATATCATGAATGGTAGTTTCCAGATTTACAATCTATCATTCAGAACCTACTCTAATTGCAAATTAGGTGATATACTATGCAACAGTGCCATTGTGATAATGTG